GACCCCTCCCTCTTCAGCTGCTGCTGGCTGCGGGAGGGGGAGGGCTCTAAGGGCAGGAGCAGGACACAGAAACTCCTGCTTAGGGCTGGAGGGATGGCCAAGTAGCTGTGTGGAGCAAGAGTTAGCCCTGCTGTGCTGGCAGGGAAAGCTCATTTTAAAATGATTGTGAGCTGCAGGTGAGCCAGGGATGCACCATGGAGTGAAGGGAATGCAAGAGGACTGTATTTGGGGAGTAACCTGGCCGGAGAATATTCATGGTGCCCTGAGCACCCCATGCCCTAGAACTTGCCACCAATATCGGTGGTTGGGAAAATTGTAGGGAATGGGGTGTGGTACTTTATTGGGGGGAAGCAAACAGCGAGGTGTCCAAGGTAGGGAAGAGAGGGTCCCTAGAACTAGTTATTGATTAAACATTACTCTTGGCTTTCTGACTCTGCATGGCAGCTGGGTCCCCAGCTCTCTGGGAATGTGGGTTAACCAGTTACAGATAAGGATCACCTAATAAGGGTGATGTTTACCATGTAACCAGTCAACTGGTTACCCATTCGCATCCTATCTAGAACTAGGAGTGGGAGGAAGGAAAGTCCCTAGAGGTGGGCTGAGTAGGGTTGGTATTGTGGGTAGCAAGTTTCTGATACTAGGGCTGCTAGGCATGGAAGGAGAGCCTAGGGGCATGTGAACTCCTTGTGGGTGGAGAGCTGCGGAGGATGGGGGTAGAACAGGAAACAACTGCTTGTGCCAGGGAAATCAGGGGAAAATGAATGTAAATGATTCTGTTCCAGAGGAGGCCATTCTTTTTGCAAGGCTGCATCTTCCAAGTTTCTTTTCAAGTTTCTCCCTTGCTTCTCAAAGGGAGACATCTGAGCAAAACAAACAAGTAATATTTTAAAAGTACTGACTGACTGTATAATGTGCATGACTGCTATGATGACAATGGATGGTATATTAGTAAATACTGTGCATTTTAAATAGACCACTGTGGAGCATTGCAGCTAGTCAGTTTAAAACACATTGGTTTGTAGGCTATTTTTCATTGAGCTTGAAAATTATTTAAAAATGTCTTGAGCGCTAATTGAAAGTTGACACTATAAGACACACTTTATTCAAGTCTCCACTACTTTTATTAATTCTGGCATATGGTCTAAACTAGGGATGTTAGGAGGTGAGTAATTAACTAATCATGTAGTCGATGGAATTTCTATTGACTGCATGATTAGTCGATGATAGAGCCCCTGAAAGCTTTTCCCCACTGTTGCTATGCATCTCAAATGTAGCAAGAACCAGTTGGGCAGGTAGCTCCTGTTACATTTAAACTGCAGAACTACATTAGGGGTAGTCCTTGGACCCACTGAGAGCCAGGACTGAGCTGGGCTTGCCCAGTCCTGGCTCATGCTGGTTCCAGCAATCCCTGATTGCAGGGGGTCCCAGTGAGCTGGGAGCCGCTGTGAACCCAGCCTCTGCTTGTGGCAAGCCTGGGCCTGCCATGGGCAGAGGCTGCTTTGTGGCATCCTTTCCTCTGCACCGCTGCCTGTCAGAGGCAGCAGCATGTGTGCGCGCATGTGTGTGCGTGTGAGCGTGTGGGGGGGGGAGGAATTGGTGGCAGGCAGCATGCGGAGACAATGCTAGAGGAAACTGGCATTTAAATTGGTTCCTCCTAGCACTGGCTCCTGCTTCCTCCCCCCTTTGCTGCCTCTGATACAGAGGGAGAAATAAGAATAGTTGACTACTTACATCCCTAGTCTAAACACTTAGTCTGTAGTTCCCAGCTGAAAATTTTCCTCTTCATCTGGGCTTATGAATTCATAGTTAAATAGCTTATAAAGAGAATTAGGGCTGTCCAGTGCATCTTAGCAGTAGTATCACGCTTGGGAGCAATTGGATGTGTTTGAGGAACAAGTTAAAATTCTGCAATTTTCAGTGCGTTCCTTCAGCCTGGTTAATTTCAATCTTGAACAGAAGTACTTCACTTTTTTTGGTTACAGTTTTAAGACGTTCTCTAATAGTTTTATGTATTGGAGTAGTTGGCAGAAGCTGTAATCAGTGTTGCCTAAACAAGTGGTTTTCAAACAATGGGTTGCAATCCAGTACTGAGTTATGGAATGTCAGGCACTGGGTACATTGCTTCAGGGGAATCAAGTGATCAGTGGGAGTGCTAAGGCAGGGCTACCTACTTGTCCTGGCACTGTAGACTGCTCAGCAGGCCTGGCTTCTAGGTGGAGAAGAGGGAAGTGCACAGGCTCATGCGCTAATGCTGCCCTGAGCACTAGCTCCACACACTCATTGGCTGGGAACCTGCTGCTGGCTGCTTCTGGGATGCAGCATGGTCTGTAGTGCTGGGAGAGGCAAGAAGTGCTGCCTTTGCACCACTGACAGGGACTTACCTTGCAACTGCTCCCACCTGCCCCAGCTTTGATTCCCCCCTCCCCCCCTCAAAGCTGGAGCCTCCTCCTACACTCCAAAGCTCTCATTTTCTGATCTATTCTGGAGTCCATATTCCAGTCAAAGCGTGTTGGTTCATAGGCGTCAATAATTTTCTTCAACTGGGTCATGAGAGAAAAAGTTTGAAAGCCATTGACCGAAACCATAACTCCCCCTCTTCCCCCCCTCCCCAAAAAAAAACCATCCCTCACAGCACCCGGCGCGCCTTGTTCAGGGACTTAGGCATGTGCATAATTTTACTCATAATAGTAGTTGCAATGATTTCAGTTTAGTCATGTTGCTGAAGTAAGTTTAAATATTTGTAGGATTGCATAAGAGCACACTGTACAGCACAGAACTGAAAACTTCTAGCATTTATCACCTAGTGATTTCTCCTGGTGTTAGCGGAAAAGACCTTACTCCTGCTTCCATAAAAGGTAATGTAAACAGTACCTAGAATTCATTGGCTGGGCTAATTTAGCTAGATTAATTTTTCTTTTATACTGAACATGAGACTTCGCCAACCCTCTCCCCCTAAAAAACCCTCTGCTAAAAATTAGCATAGTGAGAAAAAACTAAAGATTGTGTTCTATAATAATTGGTTTCTCTTAGGAAAGAAAATGACTGGAAGAGCTAGAGCCAGAGCGAGAGGAAGAGCTCGCAGCCAGCAAAGTGCTGTACCTCCTGTAGGAGCAACTTCTGTGAGTGTCCATTTTTCAGATCAAGCATACCTACGTTTTGAAATATTAAAATTCACAGTTGTCAGTTGTCTACTTCCCATTTAGTAGCATGGATATTAGGGTCTTCCTTTCAAATCAAACCTGTTTTTGCCTCACATGACTGATGAGCAAATGTACTCCCAACAGTTAAGCTGGTATAGTTCTCTAAAGCAGTGGTTCTCAAATTGGGTCAAGACCCCAAAATGAATTGTGCTTCTGTTTTAATGGGGTCACCAGGGCTGGTTTAAACTATTTGGGGCGCAGGCCCAAGCCTTACTACCCATGGCTGAAGCCCTCAAGCATTGTGCACCCCCGAGCAGCAGTGGTGGGTCTTCGATGGACTCAGGCTTCTGTCTTCCCTCCTGGGTTTGTGTAGTAGTTTTTAGTTGACGGATGGGGGTTAGAAGAAGCACCGTACAATGAAGTTTGAAAACCTTTCCTGTAGAGCTTTGTGAGTGTAGGTGTCATTGTCTTGTGAATGACTTTTGCACGTTCCTCAGATGTCTGTGTTAAACTTCATAGAATGCAATAATGGTAGGAGCCTTTTTCAAAAGAAGATGTGTAGTGGAATTTCGTTGCATAAGGGCAGATAGACTCCATCAGATGCCTGATATTGAGTGCTGTATTCAGTTCTAAACGGAACACAGAAGATGCTGCTCCTGATGAATTGTAATAAAATATATATACATTTTTATTAGGGCTGTTAAGCAATTAACACCTTAATCGTGATTAATTGCGTGATAAAACTAATTGCCATTAATTGCGTGATTAATCGCACTATACAATAGTATTCTAAATATCTATTTAAATATTTTTGGATGTTTTCTACATCTTCTAATATATTGATTCTAATTACAACAGAGAATGCAAAATGTATAGTTCTCACTTTATTTTTTATTACAAAACATTTACATGGAAAAAAAATTCAGTTCACTGAAGTATTATTGTGCAAATTCTATAGTGAAAGCTGAACTTAAATTCTTCTGTATAATCAATATATTTGTGTCCTATTCAAAACTATCCTTTTTTACCTCGGCCCCAGTTGCGGGCGGTGTAGGGCCAGAGAGGGGTAGACTCTGCCGTGGGCAGTATAGATTTGGGGGGGGGGGACTTGGCACCCCCAACAGC